TATCGATGATATGAGCAAGTGGTAAGCAGGGATTGTCTAAGTTGTTCATAGGTATAGGTGCGGCTTCGAAGACGACGCCATAGATGTCATCGGCACCTTCTTTCGGTAGCAAATGATCTGTCGTGGATGGAGAAGGTGCCCTCCGCTAAATTCAGGTGTTCCGCTACAAGCTGGATTATGTAATAGTGTAAACTGGTAGCAGCAATACACTTGAAAACGGTTACTGACAAAGATCTTTGATTTGCTTCGAGCTAAACAGATGGTTATTTGATTTACATAGGTTAGCATTAATTTTCGGAATGAATCTTACCTTGACCACAAACAGGCTCACAAAAAGCATTCTAAATTTCACTTAGCTGAGTCACGCCAATTCCTTGGAACCACTTTCTACTACTAGTCTTATCGCTTCCGACACTTTCGTTTTTAATATCGAAGGCAAATGCGTTTCATTTTTCCTTTTAGCTACACGAGCTGAAGTTTAGCCGTCCAATCACGCGACTAGCGGTGGCACCAACCCCTCAGCCAATCGTCTTGTAGAGCGCATAGCATCGGACAAAACTACTCCTTCCAAATGTCCTGAGCTGTCGCATGCGGATCCTATTCCAATGCACCATCAGGAGGACGCAAAATATTAAATTGTCGAACAAACAGCAATCCTGACGTCAACTCTGCATTTAAAATACTTGAAAGTAAAGTAGTAGTGGCGATGTAAGTGTCACCCAGTGATGGCGATAACAGTCATTTAAATAATGGTAACAAATAAAGGGGGAAATTCAGACAAGAACGTGCATTAATTGGTGCCGGTAGTTTACATCTTAGTCAATTTTTCGTGATAGAAAGCATTATCTACCTTTTTGAGGAAACAGTTTCGAACATTTGCTAATAAGAGTGAGGCAAGTTCGTCCAGGAAGCGATGCATTTAACCTCTCGTATAAACTCCATGCCAGTGGATGGCAAGCATTAAAGGCAACACAGTACCGTACTATCTAACAGGCAATGGGAGAGTAGGATTTGCATAGTATTAAAGCTGACACAAGTTGGCCTACAAGTCAATATCAAGCAAAGCAAGTAGACTGAAAAGGAAATGGGATTCGGGAGTTGGCCAAGCCCGTATGCGTTGAAGTTGGTAACTGTGGATGAGAATAAGCACAGCTCAAAATAGATGAAGCCCGTGTGCTTGGCCGTCTGTAGTGGTGCTTAGCTGAGACACCATGTGCGTGGTCGTCCGTGGTGGTGCCACAGTGTGGCCAGTCGTGGGGTTGGATGTCTCTGTGGTAGACAGGAACCACGACTGCGTTTGTGCTTGCACTGTAGTTTGTGAAGAAGTCGCCAACTTCCTTAGAATTTGAATAGCTAGCTGGCTGCGTGCATGCTCGTTGCTTGTACTTTTCCTCTTCTAAAGCGAAATAAATGCTATTAATTCGAATCGATTTGAGCATTTACTAACTGAGCGTCTAAGCATCGCATTTGGTAGGGCTGTTCATGCAAACGGAGCAGCAGCAGCAGCGGTAAGCTAGAGATCCTATCAGAATCAGGTTGCAGGTCATTGAACACATTCCACAGCTTCTTTCACCTTCCGTCAATTAACTTTTCGAATTTACAGATGACAAGGCTGCCACCAACACGCCCTAGTGTTCACTCGTTAGGACGAGGAGCAAAGCAATGCTACATCAAGCATATGCAGTTGATTGCATGAAAGCACTAGTAAAGGGGTCGATTACGCATTTCCGGTCACATAAAACCATATCTACCGGTGAACAATATTTAACACAGCATTGAAGCAGCTACCCGTTTTAAGCAGACGCCAGGTTCTTGTAGCTCTGAAAGTCCTTCGAAAGCCAAGCGTCTCCGTTCCCCAACAGCAAGCCATTAACAGATTCTACTTTCGACGAAAGCAGGTCAAGTGCAAATGCAGTAGAGTCCTGTCAAATGACTACATTCGGTTATTGCCCAAGCTGAACATAGATATACTTGTCAAGTGCAGAACACGATTTTCAAATCTTGGCTGCACAATATTCCATATATGCAGATTACCGAGGCTAGGTAGAAGTATTAGAAACAGACTTTATTCTTTTTATTCGCCCGTCCCCTTCACAAAACGTTTTTGATGAAAAACTGCTTCATTGAGCACGACAAGTTCAAAATGTAATTATCGAAACACCACTTTGCCCAACGGGCGGCATTGAGAAGATTTGACCTGCTAATGTAGTCATACACAAAATTTTATATTTAAGAAGAGGTTTTTTTTAAAATTTAAAAGCAGCTTTTACTAAAGAAGCACATTTTGACGGCATAAGCAGTACAATTTAGTACAAAAAATATAACAGAATAGTGTTAGGATTTTCTATCATTTGCAATATGATATTACATTATATGTAATGTTGCATTATTTATGTTCCCATGTCATCTTTGTTAGCAGAATTTTTCATGAATATAAGTGACATCGTACTCCGATTGGTTATTGAATTCCAAACCACAAGTTGGAACTTCAGTGATCGGTGTTGTGTTGACCTTCTCTAAGTGTAGCGCAAAGTAGTGATTTTTCCCTTGTTCTTGTTTGTAGTCGCATCAGAAGCATTCAGTGTGAAGGAAACAACAATCGCTTGGCTACTGATTTTTGAGGCACCTCATCTCTTTGCAATTTATATTATTCACCTGATAGAAAATTGAAGGCTCTACTGCACTAACCGCATAAATGGCTTTTCCTAGGAGGAATTTTCCATGACGTCTACATAAATGTGCGCTTCGGTAAATGCGATGACTTGATGCCCAGTCGTGATAAATTTGTAGGAGTAGCTGAAAATACTTAATAACTGCATACTTAGCATGCTTCCCTGCATTCTAATATTTTCAGTTTATCCTATACACATTTGTGCGATGTCGGGATTTGCCTGTTTGTGTGTTTTAACGGCCGTCTGCGAGTTGATGCCAAGAAGTTTATTGCTGGTCTAAGGCAAGT